AGGATTACGTGGATATTATAAAAGCTAGAAAATACATCAAATGGGGCAAAATTTTTATATTTTTCAAGAAAACAAAATATAGGGAAAGTTAAACGCTAAGCTCGATTTAACGATATTACACAACGTTACAAAGATGGATGGCGTAACACGTGAATATGGAAGAGCAGAAGGCTATAAAAAGAAGTGCTCTCTTTTATAATTGCGACGAGTAGTTAGAACCATCGAGACGGATATATTGAAAAAAAATTGATCAAAGGAATCGCAGTTTAACGGTTGCCTTGAAATTGCCAACGAGGCGAGAGAACGAGCGTGCAATTTATTTGTTATTAGCGGCTATGTAAATGCATTGGATAGACAACAACGTTTCGGGTTACAAGACAAGAAGTCACGATTAATTCTCACGCGAGCAACAGGATTCATTTCTGCCGCAGCTTCAATTTACTCGAATAATTAATCGGTCTCGTATTTGTGAATTATCGTCGACCTGCAAAAATTCCGAGTCCTTTCTCACTCGAGTGACAGATGAGCTGGAGAAAGAATATAATTTGCGTTTCAAATGTCAAGGTAGAATTATAAGAGAAGAAAACGATCGCGATAAATTTTGAATTTTGCTGAAGTAAAATATAGATATAGATCTGAAAATATTTCGTTGGAATTCTCAAATTAATTACGTCAAATTAATTGTTGGAATATCGAAATTTGTTACAACATTGCTTTTCACATGCCTTTTCTATAATATTATTTCAATAGTCCATCCATCAAAATTATACTGATCCTTTGATCCAATAAAATTATTTTCAGATATGTATCTACCTTTTTTAAACGCTTCAGCAAAATCATTCTTTCCGTGAAGGTAAGAGTGAATTCGAGAAAAGCAGCATCTTGAGGGAGAAGCTTTTTTTCTTTTTACAAAAGAGTTGCATTGTTATCCTTTGTTGCAAACCGGTTACCGCGACGCGCGATTTCGCAATCGACAGGAAGGGCTCTTCCGGCCCTTACGAACCTTTCTTGGCCGATCGTATCTTATCCGCGTGACTCGTAAAACGTGCGAAACCGTTGGCAGGGATCAGGAAGGGAATCACGGGTGCGTGTCGCACCATGATGTATGCAATACGCAGGTGTGCGAAGGTGTGGAAGCAGCAATGAAGTATCCTCAAACGTACTTCTCAAGTGTAAGCAAATATAACTTGTTCTTAGACATGCGACCGTTTAATTGCGTTGTTTGCAGTCATAAAAAAGTTTTAAAGGTGTGCGGTGCAGGGGTGAAATCCAATCGTCTGTTTGTGAAGACGCGCGCCACTTTAAGCCTTGCAATACAATAAAAAGCATTGACAACAGGAATAGGGCACAACAAAGGCAATAAAATTCAACCTGTGGGAAATCCAATCAAACTGATACATGTTTCCTATTCTCTAAGGCCCAGTTTCTAAGTTAACTCTTGGTTAACTCTTAACCGAGGTTCAACTTATTCATTATCTCTTTCCAATTCTAGAATTGGAGTGAGCTGTGAAATTGGATCTAAAACTTTTAAAGTGAATCTCTTTGAAGAGTGAAATCTCTTAAAAATTGAAAATTGAGTCACTTTTAAAGATCGGCTCAATTTTTGTTTTTTAAAGTGAGATTCCACTTCAAAGTATTTAGAGAATATATATATAATAGATTGAAATTTTATTGCCTGTGTTATTTCCTATTATGGAAAGAACGACTTTGCTGAAGTGTTTAAAAATTTTACTAGATACAGATCTGAAAACAATTTCGTTGAATTATCAAAATAATTATCAAAATAATAATCAACGCTCAAGAATAATGATTAATACTGCGAAAAGTTTTGACATTCTAATTTTGGCGTCCTACATAATTATTTTGATGATCTAACAATCATTATTTTCAAATCTGTAGTATCTAAAGTTAAATTCTTAGATATTTTAACAAAACCATTGTTTTTACATTGTGTAACTCAATTTTTCAGATGCTTCAGTAAAATCATTCATATTGTGATTGTACATATTGTATAAAGCTGCGATTTTATATCCACAGTGAATTTTCGCACTAACGTTTCCAAGAAATCAACTTATCTCGCTGTTTGACGCTGCATACCGCATGATAGGACCACGGTTATCTTACGCAAACAAAGGAGGCGCACTGCGAATGAAGGGATTGTCGTTTAACGCGACTCTTTCGTTTCACACACGGCAGGTCATCGCGATGGCACAGAGAAGGGGGATGATAATTTTCTTGTAACGACTACATCATGGTGTCATAGTGTGAGATTAAAAAAGCAGGATGGTGACATCACGCGCTAACCCGGCTCCGGTCACTGGCTGGTCGGACAAACGTGCCACGGTGCACAAACACACGCACGTGCATTCGGATGGGTTTCACAAAGGCCTACCACGCGGGTCCCTCCGACTGATAATAATTACGGGAGGGGCTGAAGCGGACTTCCGCTCGACATATACTCGATCTATGGCGACCGGCTGTCGGGAGCGACAAACCACCTACGGATATTTCAGGAACGGACGCGACTTCGATGCTTTCCGCGACATTTATAGCGCGGACTTTTGCGAGCGGAAAATCAAGTGAAAAATCAAATCAACACGCTGCTTAACCCAAAATTTCTGATATTCATTGGCACAGAGCCAAACAATTGTCTTGTTTAAATAAAATATAGAACGTGATAAATGATAGAACGTGTAAGCGTGAGTTTTTCTCGACACCTGTGACATTTGATCATTCACTTGATCACACGAGATGTCTGTCATTTTTTTGTTATTATTTTTGTTATTATACTGTATGCTTATGTTAATAATTATAAATATTTAAGGAACAAATACTTTACAGATTAATTTGAGGATCTTAGTAGTCTAAGCGAATGGCTCCAATTACTGTCAGTAACTAAGTTATACTGTTTAAAGAAAAAGATATAGTGTTTATATTATATAATTATAATATCGTTCCTTTACTTCAAAAATGACACAACTCAAAAATTTAAATTTCTTAAAAAAGGGAAAAATTACTTTTCAATCTAACATAAAATTTAATTAACTAAATTAAAAATTATTAATAAAAAATTATTAATAATATTAATAAAAACAATACGTACTTTAACTTGATCAAATGTAATTTTTGTCATTTTCATTTTATAATCCTTAAAAAACTTTGTGATGTCGTTTTTTAAACCATCCTTTTTGAATTGCGACGATTTTTTTATAAAATTAAATTAATCAAATTCTTTTGATAATTGATAGAGTAATATTATATTTATCTAATTCATTCACAGTGGTAACTCGAAAATCTCTCTTTTAATTGTGTCATGTTTAAAACAAGGGAGCGATTTATTTACTTGTATCTCATTGGTCGGAATTTCATAATGTGCTACATAACATAGTTAACTCTAGAACATCTAGAGTTTACAGTAGGCTCGGAATAGATGTCCACTCACTGTGTGAATATTCGGTGACCGAATGGTACTCGGGTTGTTGCAATTATTCCAACATTTCCAATGAGATTCATCGCCCCGATATAATAACGTGCAATGAAAGGGTAAATAAAGGAAATAGTAGAGGAAATAGTGTATTATGGAATCCCAGTATATTATGGGATGTAACTTTACGTTGTTTCGAACGATTAGTCATCATCCGCCTGATGGCAAATCGGGGAACATTTAACAACGAAATAAAGACAAGCGGAAACGTGGTCTGCTACTTTCGGAATAAATAATCGCATTGCTCGTACATAACATGAAAGAACGCTCTGTCGTTTCAAGCTGTAAAATGCGTCATGGTCAAAGAACACCTGGCCCTTTTCTATCGCGTCGCTGAAAGAAGAGAATCGAAGAACGGAGATTCTGAGAATGCAAATATATATCAAAGTCGTCAAAATGCGACAGAAACTCATTCTTCGAAGTCGTAAATTTCTAATCCTTTAAATTAAAGATAGAAAACATTCTTTCTCAATCTTTAAATCTAATTCAAAATATTGGAAAAAAGTCTAATAATAGAACAAACTTATAGGGAAAGAATGATTTTGTTGAAAGATCTAAAATTTTACTGAAAATAATTTTGTTGGATCATCAATAATTATGTTAAAAACGAAAAAATACTACAAAATATTTTGATGTTCTAACACTCTGAGATTCCAACGAAATTAATTTGATGAGCCAGCAAAATTATTTTCAAATCTGTATCCAACAAAATTGTAGATCTTTCAGCAAATCTTCATAGATGACAGTTAAAAGTTTTGATGAAATAATTTCAATCGAATGTTCAGTTAATATAAACACTAATTTTACTTTTCTAAATATTATCTTATAATTTTTTATTTTTTATCTTTTACTTTTTTAATTATTACTATAAACGATTGCATGTATGGCTTTGGCCATAAATAAAAACTTCAAATTATTGTATATTCTTAGAAAAGGCAGTAAAATTAAAAAGGCAGTAAGAAAAAACTAACAAAATACTAAAACTAAACACAAAAATAAATAATATTTTTCACTAAATCTATTTTTTCATTTACTATTCGTTAAATATAAAATAGAACATTTACGTCAATTTGTGAGGATGCTTTATAATTTTAGCTAAGGCTGTATTATATTAGCTAAATATTGCGCTAAATGAAATACAGATATTATTAGACTTTTTTCAGTAAAAATTAAATTCAACCTTCTTTGTCGGATTCCAAAGATTATGAATTGACATAAAATTCTTCGAAACGATCGATTCAGTTACGTAACAGAAAGTGCGCTCTAATTCCTTTGTGCTAGTACCGTATCTCTATGGCATTTCAGTTATCGTATCAGGATCTTGAATCATTTCGAAACAAGTAAAGTGGTACCCTTTCAGGATTCTAAATAAGCCGTGTTACGTTGACAACGCATTCTGAATGAGATAAAGAGGTATGTTCGTATGTCCGAGCTGAGAATGTTTGAGCGGGGAGATGCTCTCCGGGGATGAATGTGCAATAATACAGATAATACGACGAGGCATAAATAAACTCACCTTTCGAAGTTTCTCCAATTCATTCGCATCTGCAGCCGACTGTGCCGCCTGTCAAGAATAGAAAGTATCGAATTATTTGACGGCCGCCGCTTTATATGTAACGCATTAAATGAGCATTTTCAACGAGAGTAATCGCGAACCTTCGACTGGATACCGCGCGTTGCATCTTTCGACATTTAATCGGTCCAGCACAATAGGAGATATGCGGCCGGCAGAAATCCTATTTATTGTATTTAAATCGAGAATTGCAAAATTCAGACGCGTGAGCGCGGTCTAACGCTCGAAGGATTTCATTGCGCTTTGCTATATGAATTTCGTAATTAGTCGTAAAGTAGGAACGCACGCACTCGCCGCTACTATCGCTATTCCCCTCGTAATTCAAGCGCGTTATTAAGTCTAACGATTCCGGAACAAGTAGAAGCAGTTTCACATCTTTATGAAAGATTGATCCATACGAGTAATGGATGAGATACATTGAAAAAAAAATTACTAAATTTTAATACATATTTTTTTTAATAATACTAATTGTAAGTGAATGTTTATGTACAATAAATATTTACTCAATTAAAAAAATGTTAAATCAAATTAAGAGTTCTTGCATCAAATAAATATGTTTGTATTTAGTAAATAGGTTCAGTATAAATATTAATAAATATTTGTTTAAAACTTTTAAAATAAATAATCATTAAGTATTTTTTCAATGTACCTCGAAATTGCAGCGTAAGCAAAATCAGTTTGGAGTGAATTTATTCAAAGTACATAAAATTTTTTAATTTAATTAAATTGTGGATGTGAGACTTATTCTTTAAATTAAAAATATTAAAAATTGTGTTTAAAATGGTATTGTATTAAAATTAACTCTAATTGGAATTCGTTTTAAAATTTCCCTACTATAAAAAAATGTAAAATTACAACAATCATAGCGAGTAATTTTGGAAGTCATCATTAAAGATGTACACACACGTAAAGTTATAGCTTACAAATGAAATTACATAGTAATTAAACAATTTATAAAAATAAATTTACATTTAAAGTTAAATTTAAAAATATTTATGTATTAATTCGCTAATAAAATTATGCTCTTTTATAAAAATTAATACTTTTACTTCCAATTGTATGAATATATTTATATTAGATGGAAAATTACAAAAAATATTTGTACATATAAATACAAACTATAAAATATATTATTGCCATTATATATAATTTTTCGTAAATATATATTTACACAATTAAAAGTATTAATTTTCTACAAATTTTATAATTTTATATTCCATTCTAAATTATGTAATTTTGACACTTATTATTTATATAATTTTACATATTATTTTTTACAATATAAATAATATTCGAATTTAGTAATTTAAATTAATGTATCTTTGCTTGTTATTATAATTCAATTTTTTTCATTTCTGAAAGTCAAAATCTAAGAAATAATAGATAAATATGTAATGTGAAGATAAATTGTAACTTAAAATTATTTAAAATTATGAAAATACTCCTTATAAACAATGTTTCACAATGTAATTAAAAAAATACTCACTGAATCTCATTAGAATACTAATTAAAGTTAGAAATTCGTAAAAAGAGCAACAAACCAAGTAATGTTTTTTAATTCAAGTTTAATTGAATATATATTCCTAACAAGAATTAGTTTTAAACTGAACAAAGAGAGAGAGAGAGAGAGAGAGAGAGAGAGAGAGAGAGAGAGAGAGAGATAAAAAGATGAATTCTCAGATGAAAGGAAATGCGTATAATCTTTGTGCATTCACCTGTACAATGCGGCTAGCGCATTCCTTTGGGCGAAATTATTTTTACACGCTCGAGAATCTTTAGTATCGATAGTATCTTTAGTATCATTTCTTATAACCCTCATACATATACAACAGAATACCGCAACATCATCTCCAGGGAGTAGATGATATTTCACGTGCGTAGTTACCGTTACCGCAATATTAAGAAAGAATCGCATTGTGAAAGAAAAGACTGCAAAACAGTACAAAAGGCATTCACCTCCTTCGGCTTCGATTGCTCCCAGAGAGTGGTGGTTCGCGCCGCGGCGGCCGCGTCGTCGCCGTTCGCCGGTCTGCCGTCCGCGAAATTCACGAGCGAGAAGAAATTGTTGTTCCGTCCGTTGTTGTTACGATCACCCTCATTCCTCTCGACGTTGTCGAGCAGCTCGTAATCCAGGGACTTGCAGTCGCGGCCGCTACTGATGAAATTTCGCGCGAACGCGCTCTTGAAGAAGCGACCCGGCGAGACTTCGCTGCCGAGAGCGAACTCCACCTTCGGGATCTCGCTCGTCATCTCGCGCTGCATCGATGATATAAAGGAGGAAACGAAACCCTACGATTAAACGCACCGCGGGAACACTGACAGATGCTGCGAGCCGCGGTGCACCGCTCTACACACGGATAACGCGAACATTCGCGACGTGGATCATCGCCGCGCGCACGGATCCCTCGGCCGTTGGCGTCGAGGAGAGAAAACAAAACACAACACGACGATGAATTGTCTCCCTAGTATCCGACGCGTCGCGCGTTGCCTTTTAAATCGCCATCCATCCACCGGGTGATCGAAGGGAACGATCGGAGGGAAAATTATGAACGAGACGCACGGTACGCCGGCGCGTATTAAACTGAGCGCCAATTCCACGCGCAGTCCTTTTCTAGTTTCTCCTGCCTCTGTCGGCTCTGTCTGCTGCGAGCGCATGCGATCCAATCGCATGACGGTCCGAGAGGGTCCCCGCGCTCGATATATCGGGTATTATTCACAAGAAGAGGAGAAAAACTGTTGTCTTCTCTCGCGGCATTTTGGCACGAGACACGCTTGATTCGAATTGAAAAATAAGCGAAAGTATTAAAAGTGTAAAGCATTAAAAATTGTACGTGTGAAAAAATCAAGAGGGAATTTTTGTCATGTAGTTTAAAATCGTTAAGTTTCTTTCTTTTGTTTCTTCCCCAATATTTTATAGATATAATAATTATGTTAACTATTTATAACAATTATGTCAAATGCAACTTTCATAAATTGCTCCAGAAAATTTTCAAAATCTTTTAAATCAGTAATGTTTAGGCGAGTGTAGATGTAGTGAAAATGACCAGCTGCAGAGGAGTAACAGCTGGGCTAACACCTGGATATATCTGCGGATTTACGAACGGCTTTCTCTCTGAATAGTTTAGAAATTATAAATCATAATAGTGAATTCAGAGAAAATTAAGTAAAAATTAAGTAAAAATTTAATAAAAATTAAGTATATTTTTTTTCTTGTAGAAAAAATATTTCATCATGTACTTTTTTTAGCTTACTTCTTATAAAAAGCTACAAAAGCTGTTAAAGACTTGGATTTTACAATTTTAAAAAATATATATTATAAAATTTGCTTGCCTTGTGATGTAAATATAATTGAATTGAATATTTATCTCGTAGAAGCTAGCAATATTTTGTCATAAGACTTTTTTATTTATGTTTTACAAAGTTATGAAACCTGCTAAAAAGTCGGATTTTGTATTTTGTAATTTAATCTTTAAAACATAATAAATAAGATTATCTGCATCTCGATTACTATGATATAAATATCAGAATAAAATGTTTGCCTTCTTTTCCCAAAAAATTGCTCGCGAATTGCAAACGATTCTTCTGATTACGAATACCGCAATTATATTGCTTCTTAATATTTTTTAACCGTAATTTGGTTGAACAGAAATTTGTCTTCGATAATATTTCCTGTATCTTCTACTGATTTTTAACATAATAATAATTATGTTATATAATTCGATATTTCTGATAAATTCTAAAATAATTATGTCCTTAATTATGTTCGTAATAAAATCAAGGAGATTAGTTGAATTAGAGCTGGATCGAAAATATAGGAAAATGAAGTAATAAAACTACTTTATTATAATTATAAAATAGTTGTTTTTAATGAACATTTAATAATTATTAACAAATATACACCTTTATGACATTTATCATTAGAATTAATAACAACGAATAAACACAATGTAAAATAACTATGAATGCTTTTCCGAGATACTGGACTTTAATTCCTCGGGTTGATTAGCTTTCGTTGTCTCCTTTGTCGAGTTTATATCTGAAATGGGAAGGATAGGTGATCGAAAATCCAAACATATCCTCTTTGAATTTCTTAGTATAATAGGAGATAGTTGGGGCGCCTCGCCGTATTGTTGGAGTTTTTCGAGTCGTTTCTTAATCGAAGGATTAGATGGGTTAAAACTCAAGCGGTTGTCCATTCCCAATTTCGGCGTCGCCAGCGGCGACGTATAGTCAACCAATTTTTTGTCGGCGCTTGACGTCGAACTGTACATTTTAATCGGAGTATTTTTACCCGCCGAGTAGCGAGTAGGCGTCGACTTCTTTTGCAATTCCACATTAAGCTCGAAAGTGCAGCTTTCAGCGTACTTAATTGGATCCTTAAAAGTTAAATTTAACACGTTTATAAATTGAGAAATTTTTATAAAAATAAAATAAAATAGGAATTGAATTTAACGGAGTACGTTTTACAAGCAAAAAATTAGGTCTGTTTAAAAAAACCTATAATTAAAAGATTAGAAAATTATTATATTAAAATTATAAATTATACAAAATATATGATAAAAAGCGGAGATAATATAGCGTACCGTGATTCGGTTTCGCAGATTTTCGAAGGATTCGTATAAATGATTTCGGCGAGGATTGAGCGTAAAAGTACTTCTATCCGTGCAATACGCTGCTGGGATATTCCATGAAGTGGCTCTCCGCCATTCTAAATTGCTGCAAGCTACGATAGATCCGACAGTAAGAATCTCTGTATAACCGTAACTGGGTATTCCTTGCCAAAATAATATTGAAAGGTACGAAGATTCGTTTGAACCTGCTTTACAATATGCCAAATGTACAGCATCAAAGTCTCTCATACCCTACAATGTTTCCATATAGAATATTATGTTAAGAATTGTAGATACAAAATGATGACTCAAATCAATAAAATTCCGAAACATCTCTATTACTTAATTGCTTAATATTATATCTCTTTGCAAACTATATATTATCCATTTTATTATAACATTCTTATATTTTGCAAACCGTTATTTTTTTAATTACCGTAGAAAATTTAGAAAATATTAAAACGTAACAACGGGGACCAATGAAAATTTTAACTTTATAGATAATTGAAGCTTTTTTTTTTGTTAATTTATGTAAAATTGTTCTTTAATCAATTGGACGTTTTAGCTTTGAGTTATTTTCAGCAATAAAAAAGACAATTAAAAGATAAAAATGTATATATCAAGAACATAACTAGAAAAATATTTATTTTCCTTGTTCTCTGAATGTTTGACCTTTTAATTTGTTACTGAAGATGATTCAAAGCAGAATCGAAACGTCCAACCAAGTAATTTGAATAAAGAACAAATAATTTGAATAAAGAACATTTTTACATAAATTCATTAGCGCGTTCAAACTTTAATTAGCCATCGTTTTCATATTTTTTTTTTTATAATTTCGAGAGTACTTTAGAATCTTATTCAAAAAATATGATAATACTTACATAAGGAGCAGGACCGACTGAACAGACAAGACCAACCGTATCAAACTCTCCATAAGGTGGAACGAACTCGGAATTTGCTATTTCGTCTAGCGATGTGCACACTCTAGCGGGATAAGACGCATCGCGCATCCTTCCCGGTTTAAAGATTGCAGACCGACGCGCGGTAAGTTGCAATTCGGTACCCCTGTTGAACAATTACGCTCGTAAAATCCAACATTATGCGCTATTACATCCGCGCAGCGATACAGTTATTCCTTTTTACGAGAATTCTACCTCTTTCCGGAAGCCACAATGTTGCAGAGCGAAACACACGCGCCTTCTTTCAGAGCATCGACAATCTCCTCGCTAGGCGACCAAACTGAAAGAATGGCATTCGCATTTTTATCACACACGCGAACTTTGAGCAACTGAGAAACCTGTCGCGGTCCCGGCAAGCTCTCGCGCAATTTTGACTGCATCTTCTGTTTGAATCGTTCCTCCTTCTGTCGTAATTCTTGCAGCAATTCATCATGTCGTTTCTTAGAGACGGATTCCTATTTATAACGAATACATTGACGGTTTCAAAGAGAATTTACAAATAAGATTAATCGAATCGCATATACCTCCGTAGACAAGTTTTCGTAATCTTCGCTCAGTTGAATTGCCATATCATCAGTTTCGCCAGAAAGTCCTTTTCCTTGAAAGTCCTCCGCTTGAGCATAAAACGACTCTATCTTGGACCAACATTGCTGCTCGTATTTATTTTGCGCTTTCTCTTCGCTTTTAGCGTTTCTGACAACTGTCATGGGAAGTAAGACATAAGAAAATTAGATCGCTAACTCTCCTTCTGGGACGAGTTAGATTTAAACGTGTCTTACTCGAATCTCCGGATGCAGTTTTCTCGTAATATAACATCGGATACATTCTAGCGACGACAATCGTCATTTTGCCGATTAAACCGCCGCTCGGACACACGTTACGTAACTTGATGGGTATCGGCCCCGAACGCGGCGCGTATCCTAATTTCGTGTCCCATCGTGCGCGCCTGGTTGAATTCGTGTGCAATTTTAAACACACGTCAGCCGGTGCCTAGACGATAAGAAATCAAACAACTAACTGGTTGCTTTTCGCTTCCAATTCCGATAAAAATCGACGCCTACCTCGAGTGGATAGAAACCTTGGTCGCAGTTGAGTAATTCTGCGCCGGACAACAGCAATTTCGTGCCCTCTCTTATTTTACCAGTTGATATATTCTTCACCATACCTATATCGATAGAGGCATTTGTACTGTACCAGCCATCGGTTAATTCTATTCTCCATTTCGAAACTCCTATACGCGGACTCTTCCCTATTTCCATACTTACGTTATTATTCTGTAAATTAAAATACGTGAAATACGTGCTATTTGTCAATGAAATTGATTCAATATGATTGATATATATTACTTCTATTATAGATGACACGCATAAAGTCATTCTCTTAGACGGAACGTCGTCCTTTTCCAAAATGCGTCTTATTGCCGGTCGCTGAGACCGGTCGATTTCTCGATCGTACCGATACTTTAATTGTGCCATAACGTATGAAGGAGTTAATGCCCTGAAGTATAAAAACCATATAAAATAATTGTGTAATCCTTTTCGTAACCTAGACGTCTCTACCCCGGCTTAGAAACTGTTTTACTAAAATAGTTTCGTTATATTATGCCGGTTCCAAGTGGCTTAGTTTAGCTTAGAGATGGTTCGCGTGCTGATTTCGTTATACAGGGTGGGTAACTAGAACGATTTTCAGAATGAAATAACAATATGAAATAGAACTTAAATATTAATTTCTTGTTATACAATAATAGGAAACAAAATGCTATGACTGCGTTCACACAAAACAGTTCAATAAGCTTCAGTGATTCTTTATTACAATTATACACTTATTGTTAGATCCAGCGAAAAAAAAGTTAAAAGCAAAAACTAATCACAGTAAAAATCAGTAAGAGCTCAACTACTTTTTATCTGCTAAATACATTCATTATTCAAATATACTCAAACGCATTCTATTTTCTACCGTTATAAAACAAGAAATTAATATTTAAGTTATATTTTATAATTAAAATAAAAATATTCATTATAATTTGTACTTTACTTCCGCACTGAAGAGGATTCAGAATCAAAACATTTACAATTAACTTGGATGATAAGAATTCTAATTGTTTGCAAATTATATCTTATCGCCTTATAAAGATATTATTTACACACTAATTCATATGGGTAATTTACTTATATTTGATGTTATATATTTCATTTTAAAAATCATCAAGTGATTCACCCTGTATTATACCTGGGTAATTTGACCGAACCGAACTTCATTCGGTCCATCGACGCTAATTTCCACACGATCCATCGGTAATGATTCTCGACCCAGCGTGCGGGAACGAGATTCGGATCTACACCCGGACTGGCAAGAAATGCACGGAGGAACTCCCAGATTCCCGTATATCCATTCTCATCCAGGATTAAACGTACACTGTCCTCCATCTCTATTCCGCGAACGTTTCTATGTGCCACGTCGTCCCCATAAAAGTCCGAGCAACGGAATTTGTATGTCGCGGCGGTCGCAGCGGTGATCTCCAGGATTCTCGGTGATATCCGTCGATCGATAAGCTCCTGATAGGAACACGGTATGGGCGGTGCGCCACCGCCGATCTGCCTCATCGACAAACGAGCGTTAGAATTAATCTGCTTATAACGGTACAGGTGACCCATTGATTGCTTCGATCCTTCCGATTGTGCTCGTCTCCTTTTCGCGGTGATTATCGCCTCCTGTTCTAACGCGGCTGCTAAGCGATCCTGTAAAACCTTCGTCGATTGATCAATAAAATCCATCATCATTTGAGTGTTGCCATACTCGCTCAATCCCGCATTATTGCCTTTTGCTTTTTCCTGCGTGACTTGCGTTGGTTCCTCCGTATTTAATTTATCGTCCTCAATCTTTCCACAAGTCGCGCTTCCTTGCACAACATTCTCTTGCAATGTTGCATTTTCATTATCTAACATCTTGTTATCAGCTCGCGATGCATTAGATTCATCCCTTTGATATCCTAAACTCTTTCGCTTCCTCAAGCTGGACTGCCTTCCTATAATAGGACTACCCGCTGTTTCTGATTCTGTTGATTCTATTGAGTCCGTTTTAGGCGATCCTGAGGTGGACTCTACAACAGAAGAGGCTTGCCTTTTTTTATCAGGATCTCGATTTTCGTCGTTGTTCGTCCTAATACTCGTATTATCAAAAAATAATTTTCTTCCTTGAAATTCGCTGCTGAGACGAGCCCTTTTCGTTTCGGACGTGTAATTCCTGCCCTGCGGTGTGCTCCCGTCTACATTAGTCTCGCTTAGTTTGCGCTTTTGCAACGATGCGCGCCCCAAGTCAGGATTACTTTCATCCAGGCAGTCGTTGGAGAATAATTCTCGTGCTGTTAATGCAGCATTGTTCGAAACCGGTACCTCTTGACCACTTGCAGTTTGCAATCCACCATATGGAATTGCCAAGTCGTGTTTTTTAATTTTTTCTTCATCGCGATCACTATTTTTAATAATATCCATTTCTAAAGAGCAATCTAATTCTGCAAATAATACTTTTGCTCTGGATAACGCTCGTTCTGAGATATCAATGTATGTTCCACCAGCGGTTTGAAATCCAATACTTGGAATTTTTATCTCTTGCATGTTTTCTATTTCGTTGATTTTATTAACTTTATTTGCAATTACTGGTTCCACTTGATCATCCAATTGTTTATCGAATATTTTTACTTTCGATATCTGTTCAGAAATACCAACAGCGCTACCAGGAGATTTAAATTTAATATTTGACATTTTTATCTCTAATCCTTTCGTTTCTTTATTATAAGCATTGGTTTCCTCTGCAACGACTACTTCTACTGTATCATCCAAATGTTCCGCGAACAATGTTCTTGCTTTGACCGGTGATTCTCCTAAGATAAATTTACCACTAGTTGCAGAAAATGATGGTAGGGTCTTAATTTTTATTGTTGTAGATTTGTTATCGGTAGATCTCTCATAATATTTTATTAATTCATCGTCATCAATATTGTGTGATTCATCCGCTAATAACGCTTTTGCTTTTAACAATGCTTTTTTTGAGATGTTAATAGGATTGCCACTGGCAGTTGATAATAAAATAGGAGTTTCATTGACTTCTTCACTAGAACTTTTACTTACAAGTGGTTTTTTACAATCTGCAGTGTACACATTGTCATAATTTTTCAATTGTTCTATAAGTGGTTTCGGTTTGGATAATGCTTCTCTCGCAATATTGACGGAAACATTATTAACGAATGAAGAGGATGGTAAATCATCCGTTAATAATGCTTTTGCTTTTAATAACGCTTTCTTCGATATGTTAATAGGATTGCCACTAGCAGTTGATAATAAAATAGGAGCTTCATTGACTTCTTCATTAGAACTTTTACTTACAAGTGGTTTTTTACAATCTGCAGTGTACACTTTGTCATAATTTTTCAATTGTTCTATGTTTCTAAGCGGTTTCGGTTTGGGTAACACTTCTTTCGCAATGTTGACGGAAACGTTATTAACGAATGAAGAGAATAATAAATGTCTATCTTTCTCTTCATTAGATTTATTTCTTTTAGTGGGTGGTTCACAATTCTTCGTCTGCATTTCATTCATATCAAAGGTGGATTCATCCATATCTGCGAATAGTCTCTTCGCTTTAAATAACGCTTGCTTTGATATATTAATTGAAGTACCACAAGCAGTAACAAACCCTATATTTTCATCCTCCTCAATGTTCCTTTCTTTGTCGATGTTCTGTTCATAGTTACATTGTGTGACAGTAGTCTCAATTGTTTTTTGATTGTTAAAAGTGTCCAAACATAACTCGTCTATTTTACTAAATGAGACATTGCTAAAGAACTCTTGCGTGGATGTGTTTAAATTATCAGGTACATCATTCGTAACATTTTTTGATTCCTCATCATTACATGTGTCTTGATTTTTACCGAAAACTTTTGGTTCGTCATCTTTAAGAACAGTCTCAAGAGAAGTAGATATTGCAGCATTTGTAGTGTCATCTTGTGCTACAGAATTAGCATCGTCAGAAATAATAGGTGTTTCTACTTGTACATTTGCAGTAGTATCCTCATTGTCAGTTACAGCCAATGGGTCTATAGATATAGAAGATCTAAATATACGACGCTTCGAACGTCTCCGCGACGCTTTAGAAGCAATAACAGGAGAATCAGAAATAATTTTTTCTACGCTTTTAACACTTGAAACATCGGGTGTACGCTGTTCACCTCTAGGTGTTTCTTCTGTCTGAAATATTAATGATAAACGGAACGTTTTACAATCGTCGTTTCGACAATAATTATACAGAAATTTAATTCTGATCAATTTAATAATAATGAAAAGTAATAAATTGTGGTGTTCAACAAAAAATACAGCTGTTATAAGATTCTTTAAAATGATAGATTTATACATTTAGATCTAATGAGGCTCTAAATGTATAATTAAGGATAAGTAGAACTAAGGGTAAGACTGATCACAGAACTTTATAACAGTTACGAAATTTTTCTGCTGAATGCCATCGTTAATTACTTATTTTGAGTATTAAAAGTAATGAATTATATTTTTAATACTCAAAATAAATAGTTGATTACTATCTTTCAGTATTAAAGTAAATCACTGTAAGTAACAAGTACATAAGCGTAACAAAGTTTATTAAAAAAAATGTATTACTAACTGTTGCGTTAATGGTTGATATCATATGAGGCTGAGCTTGTGGGGTCTCTAAGTCACTACTCCATTGTTCATTTATTTTATTTAGAAATGGCAACAGACTCAATGGTGTAGATGGAATTATGGCATCAGTTGGCATTCTGTCATTAACAATTTCACAAGTGACTAATAATGGATATTAAAATAATTTGTTTATCAAAAATATTATTGACAGACAATATAATTCAATAACTCTACTTACAATATATTTGTTCTTGCATTTTCATTACTATATTGTATACTAATCTCCGTTGTAATAAAATTTCAAACAACATAATGAAAAACTTCTAACAAAATAAAAATGTGTCATATTGAGATTATATAATCAAAAGTATTATTGATAGACAACATTATTCAATGACTTTATTTATTGCAATAAATTTGTTTCCGTGAACAATTTATCAAAAAGTATTATCGATAGACAATGTAATTCAATCACTTTACTTGTTTGCAATAGATTTGTTCTTGCATTATCATTACTATATTAGATGCTAATCTCCATCGTAACAAAACTTCAAAGTAAAATAAAAATGTCATATTGAGACTATCAAATCAGAAGTATTATTGATAGACATTATTATTGATGACTTTACTTATTGCAACAAATTTTTTCTTACAAACATCTTGTTTGACAGAAGTATTATCAATAAATAATATGGTTCAATGACATTACTTATTCGCAACAGATTTATTCTTGTTTTATCATTACTATGTTAAACGTTAATCTTCATCATAACAAAACTTTAAGGCAACAAAATAAAAATGTATCTTACATCATACTGGGACTGTAATCAAGTAACGATAAAGGTGTCTCAGACAGACTTAAAACTGAGGTATCCTGGCAGATGTTGGATCTATGTCTAATCTCCTTCTTTTGTTCATCATCTAAAAATTCGTCGTATAAAAAAAAAAAGAAAGAAAGAATGCCATTACTGCCATAATTCGAGGGACACGATCATTACCTGAGAACAATTCGTCAGAGTCATCTTCGGCATTGTCAGTCTCTGATAGATCCATGGTCGGGTTAACGTCGTTTGTTCTCACGTTGTATTTGTTTACCTATCCATTAATCTATCTACGCCGTATTCCATTCGTTTGTTGCAGAGGCTGTGGTTAAACGTTGGGCAAGTTAGCCGTGAGAGTAGCCGATGAAAACTAGATGAATCAGCAGTTGATCGATCGTTCGGTCCCCGCCAGTCCGATGACACACACGCAAATGCAAATATTGACAACTATTCGACTCTCTCACGTGGAAATATTTGTCTTTGTTTTGAATTTCCCTCATGTAACACGCGAACCTCTCGTATTGCACAACCATGCACAACGAAGGAAAAAAAAAACACGCAGTTAGGTGACGATTCTTGGCGCTGTACGCGGCAGCGAGGGAAAATAGCCGGCCGTCTTGAATGATAACCAAACTGCCATCTAACGATAGAGTAGTAGATTTTAATTTAATACTTGCTGGTGCAACTGATTTGAACTTTAATTTTACTTCGAAAAAAAACGGTTAATTGGAAATTAACCGAATTTAAAACGCTATTCGTTCTCAGGATCTAAACGCTCGGTGATTTTCAACCGACAATTGATTCGCTGGGTAAAGTATGTTAAACGTGATGTATTTAGACTTTGTAGGTTATAAAACGTCATATTGCACCTAAACATTAGGTTACAAATTATTTTCTTAATATTTGATACAGAGTAAGATATTAAACATTAAAAGCCACTGTCTACCAAAATTATATAATACTTTATTGTTTGATTCTCTTGGCAATTCTTAGATTATCACTCATGAAATATAATTACATCATGTCATTATTAAGATAGCTAAAGACTAACAACATTATTAACACTGTCAGCTAGCAATATTTTTCTAAGCTAATAGAATTATGATTTTAGAGCAAATTCCCATTCAATGTATCTTCTTTTTAAGCTTTGTTTCTGTCATTATAACTTGTCAATTATAGATGTGGTTCCATTAATATAAGATTTACTTTAACCTTGGTTTAATTTACTTCCTTTTTTTTATTCTAAAGCAGTTTCACCAGTAAAATTAATCTTGACTTAATTTATTTCTAATTTTTATAATTAAAAAAAAAAGAATAAATTGAACCAAGAATAAAGTTAATTTTACATTGATAGAACTAGGCCTTAGTATAACAAAAATGCAATAGGATTGGAGCATACCTTGCCATCATAATGTGAGAAAGAAAATTCTAATGCAGAATAAAAAACAGATCTATGACATTACAATGTAAGACTTACTATTTTATGTGATTTTCAATATTAGAAAAATAGCAGACTGTACTCAGCTGTTACTAAAAGTTTACTAGCATAATATACAATGTATAGTTTATAATATATGCTCTTGACAAGACTCTTTGGCTATCTGAATAGAAAACTTAAAAGTATTGTACTGTAGATTTTTTATGTATTTATAAATATACTGTATATTGCAAAAAGAAATAAGAATATAATATTTCTGAAGGCTTGAGTATGGAGCAGCTGCAGACAGCATTGACCGCTATCAAGGTGCTCCGTTCCAACGTTGGACAAGTGTTCGATTCCCTTGGAAATGGCTTACGGGCAGAGCATGGAGAGGAGAATAAAGAATCCAAGTATTTGTTTGAGTTACAGGAACTGTTGACCACTGTGAATGTTAATTTGAGGTAATTTGATAGCGTTTGAGATCAGGCTTTATATAGAATACCGTAAGGAACAAATTAATTTTTGGCGTTTTAAAACATTGCAGGGACGTAGAACAGGCGATAAGTAGTTTAAATCCTCCACCAGGTCCATTTAATTTAGCTAGCACGACTTACCTTAGTCAAGAGACTACACAAGAAAGACAAGCGTTGTATAGCACACTTGTTAACAGTTACAAATGGACAGATAAAATTCACGAATATAGTAACGTTGCTCAATCCTTGCTTAGTCAAAACTCACTAAAGAGATCTTACACAAGTTCAAGTAGAACAAAAAGAGGAAGATACCAAACCAGCAATCATAATGTACCTCAGACGTAAGCTATTGTGATTAATTCTCATAATTAATGATAACCGTTAAAGATTCTATAACGGAATCTGATCACGAGAAAATAGACTTTTGATTGATCATTATATATATCTTTCTCGTATATATTCTTTCTCTTGTTTTGACAAAATTGTTTGTGATTAGATTCTATTATAAAATCTTTAGGTAAAAATAACGTTGTAGATTTTAATCGGTTTTAAAATGTACAGGCAAGTTGACTCTATGATATCAACGTTTGATCGACTATTCAACGATATGACAGTATCCGTGTCTCGTCCGTTTGCATCGAATGCAGTGTTACATGTTACATTGGGACATGTCTTAAAAGCAGTAATAGCGTTTAAGGGATTGATGATTGAGCGGGTAGTAGTAAAGGGTTATGGTGAAACGATGGACCTATGGACGGAGTCTAGACATAAAGTCTTCCGTAAAGTAACGGAAAACGCGCATGCCGCGATGTTGCACTTCTATTCGCCTACGTTACCCGAGTTAGCAGTGCGATCATTTATGGTAATTAATAATTTATGGTAATTAATAATTTGTTAATAATTGTATACTTGTATATTGTAAAGTAAATATACGGAATAATATGATCATCATCAGTATAATCAACAGCAGTCTAATTGAAAATAATTTTGTTTATTTACTGACTGAGATCCAATTCGCGCTCACAAATTGTGAGCATTAATTTTGTCCACGTTTAACATTTAATAAACAAAGAAGAATTGATTCTTCTTAAGCTTTAAGACGATAATAAGCGGTCAATAGTATTAATGAAACGAATAACATAAGAGATTTATAACAAGAGCATGGCGTATTTGTTTTATTAATACTGTTGAAAATTAACAAGATTATTTTTAATTAGACTGCTGTCGACTAATGCTATTAATACATTATTTTTATCCATATACTAAATCTAGTTAGATACGATCTTATTATCCGTTAGTTAAGGATTCCAATGCGCGATATATACGATTGTTATCACGTTTTCTTTTGTTTTCAGACATGGTTTCATAGTTTAATCAATTTATTCAGCGAGCCGTGCAAACGCTGTGGCTTGTATTTGCACAGTGCACTTCCGCCGACTTGGAGAGACTTCCGAACTTTGGAGCCTTATCATCAGGAGTGCAAACCATAAGATACAAGTTTCTCGAAACTTGTGTTTTAAATAAGTATAAATCTTCGCAGGAACTTCGATAATGTACAGTAATAAAGCGTAATGACATTTGATACTTATTTTTCGTGAATGCATTTATTAATTGGAATATTGTATTGTATATATATTAAAATGATAGAATTGTGAATAAAATACTTTTCTCTATTTCAACATGTCGCGTGCTAATTAATCTCGCGATACTGTAATAATACTTCTATTTTTTTCATGTTTTTTTGTTAGGGAATGGTGACGAGGCAAGTAAAACATTTTCACAGAGAATGTAAGGGCTTTTATAAAAAGAATTCAATTACATAACACTTAATAAATGCAAATCGCACAAAATATCGCGCGTTCTGAGATAAGAGAAAAATTGTAAAGTATCAGACGGTATATTAATTCGAAACAACATACGTCGTATCACGCGGCACTGCCGATCGCGCTCAAGATAGAAAGCTGATTAAATGTACGACTAGATTTTTCGTTAGATCTGTTAATAGTGACATTTTGAATTCCAATGAACTTATAATATTACACAGTAAAAATAGACGCCCCTTTTTTTCCCATTGTAGAAGCGAGATGATGAAAGGAAAGTATAATCAAACTTGATTATCGTTCAGCGGAGAGAATTGATGTTTAGTGCTAACTTTTAAGATCGTAATATACAAATGAGCGAGCGCGTAAACGTTTTTTTTTCCTTGAAATAGCTCTGCGATCAATGTGTATTTTTTTTTATTCCTTGTTATCTATATCTACGTATGTATACACTCTTAGTGTCGTTATATGCTATTTAGTTTTACATAATGCTAATTAGTATCATATGTAAATATAATTACGTTGTATTATAATATACTTTTCACATAACTGTACACATTCACATCTTGGAATATTGGCGCTGTCCTAAGGGGCGCAAGTCGTTTGAGTGGCAGTGAACTTATTTTACAAATCGTTATTGTAATCACTTATTTTGTTGGACTGTTCAAAATTTCTCGTTTTATCTTACTTTTTTCTCTCTTTTGTTTCATTTTGTTGAAGACTAATATTGTAATGCTCAATGAGTTTTAATAATGTATCATTGACTCGAAACCACTGATGCGATCATTGCTTATCTTCTTATCAAAGTTGTGATGAGTGCGAAATACATTATTATAGGTCTTCGCGTTTAAAAAGTAGTCTTTATAGTATATGCATATATGTATATATGTATACGTTATTACAATCTTTTTAGAAACGAATTATTTGTTTATAGTACTATACGTAGGTCAATTACAGACAAGTGAATTCATTCAATTCTTTTCGCTGATAAGAAGGGCCTTTCCGCTGACGTTCTCTCGAAACGAAAGTAATGCAGTGCTACGTACGCGCGCAGACGGAAAGCGCCTTTCTCAACTTGCACATCTCGCATTGATTTTTATATATATTATGTATATAACGGCATACTGCATTTCGAGGGTAAAAATTGCCGCGCGTGTAAATGATATATTTGGTGCCAATGTGATCTGTCTTTTGTGAACACATATCGCAGCATGCCTTTTCTCGGTGAGATGGTGATTGAAAGAAGAGATTGCAAAACACAAATGGGTCGAATAGTTTTACGGCTATGAGAATACCGAACGCGCTCTCGAAATTTTGTTTATCATTTAACAGCTATAACACAAAGATTCGCGTCGGGTTCGAGGATCTTCGAGACTCGATTCAATCGATTCGAATTAATTGTCTTCTGGATATATGTTTGATACTCAAACAGAATAACATGTCACAATAATGTTAAAATGACGTTAATCGTGACTAATTGAAAAGTGACTTTTAATAATTATTTTGAAGACATCATTTTAATGTCATGATGACTTGTTCTACTTGAGTATCAGCTTGCGATAATTTCGAAATGGAAATAATAATGACGGTATATAATAAATTCACAGTCCACGACATAATTATCAGCCATCGCAGAAGTGAGAGAAGGAGAGAGAAAGTTTATATTCGTCTGTGTATCTCGGTGAAGTTCCAATTATATTAATTAGATTGAGTGTTTACGCCATGCTACTATCACCTAGTAGCTATAAATAATTTATATATATATATGTGTGCGTGCGTGCGTGCGTGTGTGTGTGTGTGTGTGTGTGTGTGTGTGTGTGTGTGTGTATACGCCTCTATCCTAGCTTTATCAATAATTAATATAGTATTCTGAATTCTCTGATAATACTCGTAATGCAAGGAGATCTACTTTATCGTTTTTTTTTTTTTTTCAGTTCAATATAGCTTTATTGCCTTTCTCACTGATTCTGTATGTTTTGGACAGCTTATAATTAAAAAACTTCGGTTTGCTCGTTCGATTGATATCATATAATGACGTTTTGCACAGATTCCGTCTAGATCTTGTTTTTTCTCATTCGACTAGTATCTCTATCCTAAATATTATATTGCATTTATGTCATGACATTCGAAACCGCAAGTTGAAACTTCTTTGAACGAAATCACCGGAGATTTATTCTGTAGAATTGAAATTCTGATTATCGAAATAAAAAAATCAAACCTTTCTTTGGCCTCTTTATTCCTTTTAACATTCACATTATTTATACTTGTGATTAGATAATCTTTTCTTTCAAACTAAAACTTAGCGACTAATACGAAATAAGAAGAAATTTTTATTTCGAATCCTGATAATTTTGTTCGAAAAATTTGTTTAACTATGTGAATGGAATTAAGACGAATAGAATGAAATAAGAAAGATTTGAAGAAATTTTTAGATCAATCTCCAATTTCAATTGGTGACTCGCAAGATAAAGATAGCACGTTTCTTTCGATTTTTGCAGGATAATCCGATGGATACATCGAGCTAACGCGAGGAATCTATTTATCATCATTATTAGCGTTCGAATAAATGGATCCATTTGTCACTATCGATAGTTGTGAAGCGAGAATAAGTCATCTTTCACTGTTCGCGGATCTATATCCGAAGGTCTACAGATTTACGAAACGTTTTCCAAGTAGAATATAGTCATAATTAAGCCATAATGATATAATGATATATCATCATGACGTCATTTATTACTTAAAAATGAACTTGTAAGTGACAAATAAGGTCATAATGAGAGCTTTTCAATAAAAGACATAGATGACACGGTGTGGCACGGTGATCGGCGCATCCTTGTTCATCAATGTTAAACAGAGATGGGATGATCATCGTGTCGCACAGTGCCGCTTGTTGGAAAGCTCCCGATGACGTCTTTATGATATTGAACTTCTGTGTTCTACTTGAGTTCGCACTGAATTCTCATATGCGGCGTGAAAGGCTGCGTTCAGCAAAAAAAAGCAGCTTTGCAATTGATATAAAATTTTTTAATATTCTCTAACATTTAACAGTGAATCTCATTCTGAAAATTGAGCTACTCTTTCTCAAGACTGGTTCAATTTTCATTCTTTGTAGTATATTGTATTTCACTCCAAAGATTTTAGAGAGTATGTATTAGTTCTTCCTTTTAGTTCCTCTAAATGGATAACTGAACCACATTAAAGAATCTTACAACAGTTGCAAAACTACTTTGTTTAAACATATACTATCAATGCAATGTGAAACGACAAAAGATAGAAGCCACATGCGGGATATGATCGCCATCGATTTCATTGGTTCATGCTATCGCGAAAGAGAGAGGGCTTCCCGAAAGAATCACGATGTTCGATCGATGACAGTATCTCCATCACGGTTTTCTTTTTTGGGATCTAGAACGGCTATGAGTCTGGTGGAGATATATGTCTGTCCTCGTTTTATCACTCATCGATAATGCTACTTTAGCGAGTAAACGAAGTACGCTATATATTTTCAGTTATATCGGAATTATCATACACTTGCTGTGTGGTTCAGCAACGTCTTTCAAGTAGAAGTATACAAGTATATACACACGTATGTACAGCACATAGGGAGGGATCGTCGTCTCCCTCGGAATATTCCGAAATATCGAATCGCCTGCACTTTTCCATTAAAAAGATTGATAATAGGGATGGAAGGAGAGGAAGAAAGATCAATGACGGAATAAGAAAAGGCATGCCTCTGCGCAGACTGGCTGCTGTTATTGATTTTCCCGATTCGGCCGAGGTGTCCGATATCCGTCGCGATAAAACGCATCGGCGATTGCGGTGTCGATTGCATATCGCAGATTCACACAGAAGTTGAAATTAAAATTCTAGATCAATTTTGAAGACCAATAAATTGAAAAAGAACCTTAAAAAAAGAGAAGTGAACTTCCAACGGAGCTATTTCCCACTTGTGTATTTTCGAGGAATAATATTTCCGCATTTAGAATTTTCTTAACCTTTCGTCGACCATGTGGAATTTTGCACCTTAATTCATACATATTTTTGAGCTTCAGTGCAGATTTTTATATTGTACCTTGGACTGTATAAAAATCTGAAACATTCTTCCATACTTATGAAAGTTTTAACAATGTATTTTTACTATCATAGAAAAATCGAATTGTATTTTACTTATTTTTTTACAAATTTAAGGACCGCCACACTGATATAGAAGATTATATAGAAAATTGAGTTTCAGTAAAATAAATTAATTTCTATATATCAATATACATATAGTGTAGCTTATATGGACAAAAGATGTCATAGGCACAATCAATAATGGCTTAGTAAGCAAGAAACATTTTGGAACATTTCATCAATATTGTATTTCAGAATATTGTAGCAATGTTGCAACGTGTTCGCCAATATTAGACAGAGATGGGATGATCACCCATTGCACAGTATCTTGTTGGAAAGCTCCCCCCACAACTCAAAAACTGTCAAAACTTATTAAAGATGTATTCGCTTTGGCGCCCATAAGCATCGTTTCATTCTTGTTATTAATTAAATATTAAACAAGAATAATTGATGCTTATAAGCACTGTAAGCGTTTACACGAAGGCAACCTTATGGCCGCAGCATAGACTCTTGCATAAAGCATAATGCATAATGCATAAGGGAATCAATCAATCGAA